TGTTCAGGATCATGTCCTGGATAACATTTGTCAAGCTCAAGGCCATTGGAGGTTGTACCTGTTATTTTCATTTTTACGTAAAAATGAATTTTTAGTGCAAAAATAAAAATAAGAGGAATAATCTCCAATGGCCTTGATTTTGACAAATGTTATTCAGGACATAATCCTGAACAACATTCAAGAGGTTTTAGCCGTCGGTCGGGCAATTTGCATAATGCTAATGCCGGCTGTAACTTTCGAACGTTATAACTCGAAAAATACTTAATGAAAAAATATTTTATTACACTGTTTTGAAAAGCTCCCCCTCCGAACCATACAACTTTTATTTGAAATGTTTTTCAGTATCTACCATAGTTTTCGAGAAATCTTAATGCATTGTTTAAAATGGAACACCCTGTATATAGTGATTAGATTATTATATTATGCTATGTATAATGATTTAATTGGAAAAATCTTTTTTCTTTTCAATTGCAATTATCATTTATATCACTTTTTACGCAACCGTTTTTTTTGTTTTTCATTTCTGATATCGGAATTAATAATATCATTTAAATATTATAAAACTGTTAGACAAACCCGAGTCGAAATTTTACTCCTACTTTAAACCTTAGTTTTAGGACATATGTAGACTCTAGAGATTCATAATAGGTTCTAATCTAATGAATTGAGCTCCTACGTTGAGCCTGTAAGTGGCAGTTATCGGAAAATTTCCTATTTTTAGGTTCAAAAGAAGTTTTCTAAATAGAAGCTGGTAGATTAAGTAATATTAAAAGAGGTCCTATTTGATTGTTTAAGTATCAAAACAGGTTTATTAATTGAAGTTGAAAGAGATTGAAAATAGGATTAAAATTTCGACTCGGGAATGCAACAATGCTTTCATCGATTGAAAGTAAAAACATTTGTTGTATGTATGATCACAAAAAGTTTCTGTTACATTAACAATATGATATACAATTGATATCATGAATTCAAGATTGTATACGATATATGTATACTACCGACACAAATCAAGTGTTTTAATCTTTAAATAAGCTCATATTATAGATGCAAAGAATTCTCAATTTGCAGTTTTCCCTCGACTTTTGTATTTCCAACAAAAAATTTAGCTTAATTATAATTTGCTTAATAATTCAGCATAACATGTGTAAGAGAGATACGTATACCTATATCATATTAGTCAAAAAAGTACGAAATGTGACAAAATGTGTATACAACTTGAATGATATATACGTCAATTCTTTCATCACCCATAGACATCCGAAATGCACTGCGGGAGATTGAAAAATGATTTCCTAGCAACGATGTAGCACGAGTTACGCCACTGTGCGTAGAGTGGCGAAAGAGAGGAAGAGAGTAGAGAGGGTGGCTAACAATGGCCGCCAACCAAAACATCCGATAAATCTAACCGGCCCGGACCTCAAGCCCCGAGGGGTTTTAAACTCTCTCACCCCAAACGCCGACGCGGGCGCAACCCTTACATTACGTTACACACTCACGGAAAAGGGAGCCATGCCGTGTGGTATTGCAGAGCGATACTGGGGGTGGCAAAAGGGTGGTAGCGGGTGGTGCACAGTACGGCGGTTCTATGCGATGGAGACGGGGAGAAGAGAGGGACGTGATGTGCGACCCATGAAAAACCAAACCGAGAGAATTCCACCCGTTCTCCTCCTCTTTCACCTCCGTTTCTCTAGCATCCACCCCGTTCCCCATCTCGGCTAACCTCCTTCTACCAGTAAACGTAACGAGATCTACCGCGCACGGGCGGTCGTGTACTGGCTCTGACGAAATTTCGACGAATTTGTTTTGTTACCGCATCCTAATTCGTTTTGCCCCCTCCCCTCTTATTCAAAGCTGCGGTCGAAATTCCGGCTCAACAAACGCGCGCTCGAAAATTACGATGGAAACGGTATCTTACTCATGCAAGAAGACTTGAAATAATTATCAGAAACAGAATTGTTGTTTTGAAATAAACTTTTATTTTTCATTCATATAATCAAATATCATACCGATGATAACTTACTCTTTAATAATAGTCAGAAATACGAGCTATTAAAGTGGGAACAAAAGAAATTGGAATATTCTTCAAGAACGACCGTAACGCATACTTATAACTTATAACAACCGAAAAGAATCGCTACATCGATTAAGATACGCCATTTTTAAAATGTTGTTATTCAAAATAACACAGACGACATTGGGAGATGCTTTCGTTTCCGCGCTCGTAACAGATGAGCAAGACGGAAATATGCAGTCGGGGAAAATGAGAGGTATGCTAATGTCGACGCAGAAACTCGACTCTCACCGCGTCGTCGTGCAACGTATCGAGAGTTAAACGACGCCTGGAATCTCGGGATTCCTCGACAGTCGTACGTAATCAAGCGCGTCCCGCGCGAACATCTACGATGTTCTGTGCCGAGCTGAGTGGCAAACCGCGTTTCCGCGTTGAAGAATGTCGATAGCTTTCAACTACGCACTTAAATGCGTCCAAGTTTGACGTGCTATTTGCTTAAAAAATATTAAACCAAGGTCATTGATAGTTAAAAATACAAAAGAGACTGCAATGGAAAGAATGAGTGAAGCAGATCGATTTTTCGGTATATTTTTCGTACAATATCTACTTCCCTAAATGAAACAGCAAAAGGATTATTTTATAGACGGGGACACGTGCATCCATGGCAATTTCCATGTTTTACATCGATCTAGTGGCATAAATCGCGTTCAATTCAATTTGGATACAATCTTGGCACGCCAAATTAAACAAATTTCACATTATGCAATCGTTATCGAATACTTTTCACACGTATCGGAACTAACTCGATGCTCCTGAACACACGGAAAAAAGGATTCACGGGAGACTGCGCGAAACGAAGGTGCATGGAAACGAAGAAAAAGAAAAACCCTTTCTCCGGAGCGGTCGAGCCCAAGTCCGCCCCACCTTTTCTTTACGGATCGGCTCGAGAGAGAGAGGAGCAAGAGGAGCAGCGTCCGCGCGACCGCTTACTCACTCCGTAGGCAGAAGGAAGAGGTCCAGATGAGAAGAACGAGGAGAACGAGGAGAACGAGGAGAACGAGGAGAACGAGAGGCCAGAAAGAGGGACAGACAGGTCGGCCTGAGAGAGGAACCCGCGGCTGCCATGGTTACCGTCGCATTCCCGCCTCGCCTCGTTGCCATGGAGATGGCGGCACCCTTTCCCTCGACTCTCCTCTCCTCTCCTCTCTTTTCATTCTCTCGTTCTCTCTGCTCCGCTCGCATGCCGACCGACACTCACACTCGCGAAATTCCGTCCTCCTTGCTCTCGGGCGCCAATCTTCTCTTCGACGACAAGGGGCGACTCACTCTCTCGCGCTCACTTCGTCCTTCCTTCGTAGAGGATACTGCTGTTCCACGGAGAGAGGGAAGTCGAAAGAGAGGAACAGACGGAGGAGACAGCCCGCGAACGCATACGCATGCGTGATATTTGGTCCTTCGCAATATTGGGGCTTGATGCATCTCCGGAATGATTCGATCACTTATCAAACGCGAGTCACTCGCAACCTCATAATATACTCTTGCACGATGTTTATCTTTGGAATTTGAGAGGATCTTGATCCTCTCAAAAAAGGTCGTTTGCACGATGTCGTTTGACACAGGATTGCGCACGCGTAAAAACAAAGAAAATGTAATATTGAGAAACTTTTCATTTCCATAAAAAAAGCTTTTAATTTAATCATTTTTTTTTGTTAATCTTTATTTTTTTTTTTTTTAAATACCGAGAACTTCAATTTATATTTTACATATATTCGATATCAACGATTAGTTGAAGATCGTGATATTGTGAGTTGCACTATTTTTTCGAGTTTAATTTAGGAACAATTTCCAGTGAGATTTCTATAATTTTTTTTATAGTACGTAGTGTAGTGTTCATTAATCACTGCCAAACTAAATCATTCGCGCTCAAAACGAATGAGATGTAAGCGCTCTATTTCGTAAATCGTAATTCTGATTGCTCGTCGCGTCACTCGATATCAATATTTATTCAGCGTACAGCGTAGCGAATGCCCGAGGCCGATTAAAACTTGTTTATGCGGCCAACAATTCGCTCCTCCCCCTGTACGAAGTGTATACATAAAACGGCGCATTCCTTTTCTTCGTTTTATTCACGGCATGCACAGTTAAAAATGACTGAAGATTAATTTGGACAAATAAAAATGGATTTATGCTCAGCAATGTCATTACGTACAACTTTATATTTTGCATTGTACACTTAAAAAATATAATTAAAAATATTAGTAGTTAAAAACATAAATTGCTTCTTAAAAATTGTAGAGTTATGCAATCTTTGTAAAAGACAATTAATTTTTTTAATTACCTCATTTGTATTATTTATTTGTTTATTCAACTAGCGTTTTACCATTAATTTCTGCGCATAATCTGATAAAAAAAAAGGCACAAGTGTAACAATCGTACAGATAAAATGTGCAAAGAATAAAATGCATAAGTAAGCATAGAAAAAATTATAGAATACCAAAATACATACAATTAAAATAAAAAATTATATTATAGAAGAAAATTTTCTATAGAAAGCGAGCTCTCAAAGGTCTTGTAAACATGTAAATGTGTGAAAAAATGTTAACACATATTATAATAATATTAAATAATTGTAATTATCTGGATAACTATTATGGCTAGAAAATTACCAAATGATATTAGAACGTATACTAATAGAAGCTTTCCTAAAAGGCCTTAAATTATTTAGCGATGTGTCGCAGATGACTAATGGGGTATCATTTTAATACTTATAAATATATATATATACATGCACTGTGTATCTAAAACATTTTTACAAAGATCATTCCGACACAATCGCGTTACGTGCAGGATGAAATAATTGAAATTATAATAATATTAGATGAATATCTTTGTTCAATTTCATAGAAAAATAGAAACCGATTGAAGAACATACAAGTAATAAATGCGCAAAATGTAAAAATTTTAGATTTGTGTAAAGAACTCGACTTACCGGGACTGCCGAGGAAGACTGAGGAATAAAGGACACCACGACGCGCGTCGGTCGCCGCGCGTTGCGCGTCCGGAGGCGAACTCCATTCCCTACGAGGACACCATTTGCCTGAAACATTTTTTTTTCATTAAAATTATTACCATATAATTATAAAAAAACTTGGTTTTTCAATTATAATTTGCTAATCTATCTATTTACGCTTTAAACATACGTATTTGTAAGAGGCACAATCGTGTTAGAAATAGTTGTCATGAATTTTGCACTTTTAGCAAAAAAAGGATAAACGTTAGAGAAAAAGTGCATACGTGTATAAATTTTCATTTACAAATCAGATAATTGTTTACACGCCTTAAATGCATTAAAATAAAAAAATTGGCATGAATTAACGGATGGAATTAGAAAAAGAAACTTTTCAATGGATTTGTTTTGATAAAAGATAAAATATCGTCAGTTACGACGTCGCAATTAAAATATAGTAAAAAAATCGTGCTGATAATACGAAATAGCCTGTTCTCGTGTAAAAATAGATGTTTTCATATCGATTCTCGCACGAAAACGTTATGCCAGCGTCATGAAGAAAAAGTATGCAGAAGGGGTATATGAAGGAAGCAAAAGATTCGTGATCGTTGGCGTCACGACTTCGACCAAAGAGATTCTATCACTGTGTTCTATATGTATACTGTTATAATATTTTTATTCTTTTTTCATCAGGTAGCATGCGACGTTATCCCTGCGATTTACTTCGCCAAAGTAAGAATAATCCTACAGTTATATATATATATATATATATATGCTGATTATAACTACTTAAGAGTGTGGAAAAGCATTTACGTTAAACTATAACCCGGTATTTACTCGACGGTTACATATTACATCTAGTGTAATATTAACCAATGCACTATGTGAAGCGATCAAACGAAAAAGTGTCACCTATAAAAGTATTATTTATAAAAGCTCCCAAATAAAATTAACAAAAAAAATTTATTTCTTATTTCTTCTTTATGTGCGGCTACACAAATTCGGAGAATTTTCTATCTTCCAACTGATTTATCAAGCGGAGAGCACCACTCGCGACTGCAGTATTGCAATTTTCCAGATGCGAAAATAGGAAAGGTATCTACTTTATTTCCAGGGAGATCCCGGCTGAATGAGGATACACGGTAAGAAAGGGTGGCGCCGGGGGATAAGAGTAAGCCGCGGAGCGAAGTAATTTCACACGAGAGAGTAGGGTCTTGCTGGGTGAGAGGAGATCCCGCGGAGCTATAGTCTTATCTCGGAAATATAGCGGGCACATCCCCCTGCGAAAATTATATTCTTGGAAAGCAGAAAATTGCTTCGCTTCAGCCCGTTCTGTATGAGCGTGCAGTCCACCGATATTAAGTTCTTGTAACGTTTTTGCATGCAATCAACTGTTATCATAGATACCGAGATTAATTTCAAATAATATACGCGATCCTTCGTAGATTCACTGACGATTAACTTTGAATATCATTTTGAAACTATCGTTCAATTGGCTTAGAATTAATGGATTTAAAGACAAATCCAACGATATTGAGTATAGTGTGCGTTTAACTCTAGATCTTACGATCACGACACGATCCGTCAGTTTCTGATTAATCGAAATGACAGGGTTCTCTCTCTCTCTCTCTCTCTCTCTCTCTCTCTCTCTCTCTTGTATGTTCTATGAAGAAGTAAAAATGTACAACGCCTTATCGTATGAAGTAAAGCGATGTGAAAGATTGGAGTCATTTAAAAAACTATTAAAAGAGTACATGATATTTAATGTTACTTAGATTTAAGATTATTGTATTGTATTATTTTTGGAATAGCTAAGAAAGCTAATAAAGAATCAATCAATCAATCTGGGAAGGTGATTCGAAAATAATGATTATTCCGGCACTAGGGACAACCGAAATCGCGTTAATAACAAGAGGTTAACGTTCCTGAGCAAATCTATCGAGAGATGAGCTTTTCTTTATTAACATTTCGTGTAAATTAAAGGAATAATGAAAGACTCAATGATATACAAAACATAATAAATATACACACACAAATATTCAAAACGCGTTATCGATTCGACGTGGGATATCTCGTTGCAGAAGATCCCGTCTTTCCACGCCGCGGATAAGTGAATAAACAATATATCAGGATTATTCAAAGTCATTTGCTCGCGTTGCCGACCCATTACGCACCGCCAGGCTATACGTCACAGCCATTTCGAAGTCCTCGGAGGCACAGGTCCTTTGGATACCTGTAGAATCCTAGGCTGGAGGTGGGGCGGATAGATGGAGATTTATAGCCGTTAGGAGACAGGGTGTAATCATACACATCGCCCCATCAACTCTGTAACTGTGATTTACCGTGGGAATTCTAAAAAGTTCTAGAGTTTCTACCATATTTTGACCCAAATTCTCTGAATCTCGGTATACAGCTATGACACTGTCGTATGTCAAATCTAGGTACCATTCACGAACGTACAGTTACGAAACACTAAAATCGTTCTATTTTCAGACAAATGAATAAAATAAATTTTACAAAGAATCTTTCTTATATTCTAATAAAACCATGGAGGTAATGGGTTTAAAGCAACATGAGTTAAATCATGACTTCTAACTTGAATGTTGTCAAAGTCGCGCGACTTTATGTCCGTATATAATTGTTGCATCTGACAGTGCAAAACGTTTCTTTAGAAGAAAGATTCGTTAAGTGGCATCGAGTGAGACGTCTCCTTTGAATGATCACCGTAGCTAAATTGCGGGTTAACTTTGGTCTAACGGGTTCGCGTGGTCGCGACAGTCATGCCACAGGGCCGAGTCATGTATCGGGCAAAGCCCTGGAGGAGTGAGTACGATCGGTGGGAGGTGGATGGACCATAATACGACGACCACGTCATCTTCGCTTGAAACTGAATTCATATAGCCACGCGCGACGCGAACTCCCGCTATGGCTTTATTTTTGCACCCAGCAGCTGACGGTTATAAATTGGAATGTAACAGTCGGACACGCGACGGACGCCGTTTGTTTCTTCCTTGCGTCGACAATGATCTTTCCATGACTAATTTGTTTCGACAAAGGTAAGTTCTCCTTGAGCCACGTATATCTTATATCTGTCTTTTCGACAGTCATTTCAAATTCGTGCAATGCATCACACAGACTCCCGGAAGTCCTCGCTGAATTTAAACGCCATTTAAAAAAATTCTAACTGTTACATGATTTTGCGCAATCATCGATCCGAGTCATCCAGGTTGTGACAGAGAGATTCGGAGAGGATCTTCAATGTCGGTATCCAGCTTTTCCACTCGTAGAGACTTGTAGCGGATGTTATAGATAGAGAGAATATAGGTACGTACCCAATAACCCCATCACGTCGGGGATGCTTTCTCGGTATAAATAAATCAATATAACTCGCTTCCACCCTTAGACACCGCCCTCTTTCGCCGTAAGGAAGTGACGTATGAGGCTCGCATCTTCAAGGCGAGGGTTGAAGAGGCCACCCTGTTATTTCACAGTTAGGCTCGTCCCTCTCGCTCCCCTCGAGCTCCCTCAACCATCTTTCTCGTCGTCTTCCACCATCCAGACCGACCTGTGCGTCCCTAGTGCCGCTTCCAAACGCGCACGAGTCCCTCGGGAAGCTTTTGTCCTCGAGCTGTAAGCGACTTCCTGACAGGCCAAGTTTGCACCTGCTCTCCTTTTGGCTCGTCGGTATCTCTCTCTTCTTCTATCCATCCTCGACATCTCGCTTTCGCTCGTTGTTTCGCACTTTACTCTCCCTTTCTCTCTCGTTTCGTCCTCTTTGCGAACTCTGCCTAACCTTACATCGCCCCACGCCACCAACACACCATCCACCACCCACCGATGTTACTGGCGCGTAATTTATTCGGGATGAGTATCCTCGCTCTTCGGCCGAAGATAATCCGTAGATCAGCGAGCTGGATAAGCCGAGCGTGTCGTTATATACGTCCGTCGAAATTATTTTCGAATAATCCCCGCCGTCGACACCTCAAACCCACTTATCTTAATTAAAATTACCCTCATCTAGTGGCTCTAGTAGTGCAAAGCGAATCGGATGTTTGCGCGATTTACGGTAAATCAACTCGTTCAAGTAATAGAGTTTGAATGACAGTTTCCTGTTAATAGAGTTCTGTGAACAGATGCAGGGAGATTATTGAAAAATTTCACGCGCGATTTATTAAATCGTAAAATTCAATAATCTGCATTCTTTTAAATATCGATACTTTTAAGATGTTTTAAAATATTTGTGCAAATTTCTGCAAACTCTATACATATATGAGCAAAGTGAATCAATATAAAAAAAAAAATTGCCCTTTTTCTTGATTAAAATCTATTTGTGCAGAATAAACGTGTAGCATTTCAAGGTTGTTGGTCGGCATCATGACGTCATTCCTATTTTCCATTTGTGAGCAGAAACACCGTCTTTCTTCGGTAAGTAGAGGACGACGGGTGGAGGTCTGCGTTCGCAGATGTCGGAGATGCCGAGTGATTAATGACGCCCGATAGACGTAATTTGTTGCGGCTTGCAAACTCGCCGTCTCTCGGTGCGTCTTTCAAATTCAAATTATTGATAAACAGGATGCTGTTTGTAACAGTCGGTACGGGATGATGTCGGACAAACCGGACGACTTAACTAAGCGCAAACGATATAGTAATTAATTTTATACATCATATTACGACATTTTTTAAACGTAGCAAACAGAAAATTTTTGTGCGTCTAGCAGAAAGAGAAAGTTGTAACTCACATGCGATAGCACAGCAACGAGGAACTATATTACTAAGAATTATATATTACTATCATGAAATCATGTGCAGATATTGAACAAAGTGATAATTCGATTTGACTTAATCGCAACGCGTGTAATTGCTCAAGTTTTATACAGATAATAATATAATACGTTCTCGCTTATTCGTGCGCAAATTCGCCAGTATTACGATTATCACAAGAGCGGAAAAGAGTATGTACAAAGACGTGTAGACTAATACGATCAGATTGAAACACTGTATGGCCGTATCGACCGCGCATTATCTAACTCGAGAGAAGAAGGATAATTCTTATAAGCTGAAATAAAGATAGTCAAGCGATACGGTACTCG